CTTTTGGCCTCCTCTACTTTTCGCCGCAGGTTTCGCACGAGATCCTTGGCCCCGGATTCTTCCCTTGCCAGCTTCTCCAGAGCCTTCTCTTTCTGAGGGTCAAAGACATTGGCTCAGCCTCCCAAAATCTGCATTCAGGGAGCCTTCAATGGCATGGTTTTGCTTTTTGGGGAATGATTGAGGAGCAGGAAGTGAAATTCAAATGGTTTGGGTTGGGAGGGACATTAAAGTTCCTCCAGTGCCACCCCAGCCATGGCAGGGACGCCTCCCACTGCCCCGGGTGCTCCAAGCTCATCCAGCCTGGCCTGGGCACTGCCAGGGATGGGGCAGCCCCAGCTGCTCTGGGAATCCATCCCAGCCAGGAATTCCCAATTCCCAATGTCCCACCCATCCCTGCCCTGTGGCAGTGGGAGCCATTCCCTGGGTCCTGGAGAGGAGAAGGATCCAGGGAGAGCTCAGAGCCCTGGCAGGGCCTGAAGGGGCTCCAGGAGAGCTGGACAGGGACTGGGGACAGGGATGGAGGGACACCCAGCAGGAGCACTGGGACACCAACAGGGACACTGGGATTTCAACAGAAGCACTGGGACACCAGCAGGGACACTGGGACAGCAGCAGGAGCACTGGGACAGCAGCAGGGACACTGGGACAGCAGCAGGGACACTGGGACACCAGCAGGGACACTGGGACACCAGCAGGGACACTGGGACATCAGCAGGGACACTGGGACACCAACAGGGACACTGGGACACCAGCAGGGACACTGGGATCTCAGCAGGAGCACTGGGACACCAGCAGGGACACTGGGACACCAGCAGGGACACTGGGATACCCAGCAGGCACACTGGGACACCAGCAGGGACACTGGGATCTCAGCAGGAGCACTGGGACACCAGCAGGGACACTGGGATCACAGCAGGAGCACTGGGAACCAGCAGGGACACTGGGACAGCAGCAGGGGACAGACACTGGGATCTCAGCAGTAACACTGGGACACCAACAGGAGCACTGGGACACCAGCAGGGACACTGGGACACCAACAGGGACACTGGGAACCAGCAGGGACACTGGGATCTCAGCAGGNTTCACTTGCCTTTTACAGGGATTTATTTTAAAGATCATGGCAGAGCCTGGTTAGAAAGCAAAAACCTTCACTTGCCTTTTACAGGGATTTATTTTAAAGATCATGGCAGAGCCTGGTTACAAAGCAAAAACCTTCACTTGCCTTTTGTATCAGTGCCTCCTCATTAACAATTCTTACCCCTACTTAAACTAACTTTCCCTATGAATATGTGATACAACCACAAAAATCTAAGCAAAGAAACAAAATGCTGAAATTCATGTTTACTTTAGCTTGACTAAAACATGAACTTGAGCAATTACAAAGCAAAGAGGTTTTACTTTCTGAACTTGAGCAATTACAAAGAAAAGAGGTTTTACTTTCTGAACTTGAGCAATTACAAAGAAAAGGGGTTTTACTTTCTGATCTCCAGAAACACCTTAGAAAAACAACATCCCAAACCAAGACAGGGAACTGAAGCACAAACCCAAACCCATTCCTTCCTCTATTGCTAAAGAGATTACTGCATCTTTTATCTCAAATCCCTTCTCACAAAATGTACCTTTTTTATAACCATCGAGGGCTTTTTCCAGCTCCTTCTGCTTGGTTTTGTCTGGAGCAGCAGCAGCGACGTTGGCTTCGAGTTCCTTGATTTGATTTTTGAGATCCATTTCTTGCTCAGAAAATCCCTGCAGGGAGCACAGAGTGGGCTGGAATCCATCCCTGGCAGCTCCCTGAGGGCAGCCAGGGCTGTGTGGGGCTGGCAAGGCTCGGGGTGCCCACCTGGATGCTGGCTGTGTATTTCTCCGAGGTGTTCCTCATCTCCCGGATCTCCTGCTGCAGTTTCCTGATGGCCTCCTCCAGCTGGGATTTCTCCTCCTCGCACTGCACGGCTCTCATGGAATCCCTCTGCAGCTGGGATTCCATCCTGCTGATCTGCANTGAAGCTGCTTCTCCAGTTTTTTAGCCTTGCTCTTGGCATGTTTGAGTTTCTCCCTCAATTTCACATCCTGCAAATCCAGCTCAGAGAATTTTTCTTTGCTTTCCTGTATGAACTTTGTAATTTTATTGCATTTTCTAGAGAGAAAAAAAAGAGAGAAAAAATTATTTTTTAATATTTTTATATATTAAAAAATAATTAATTTTATAAATTATTTTAAATTATATAAAATTATGTATAATTATATAAAATTAAATAAAATCATATATATAAAATTATATAAAATTATATATTAATAAATTAATAAAATTAATTATTATATAAAATTATATATATAAAATTATATAAAATTATATAAATTATATAAAATTATTATATAAAATTATATATATAAAATTATAAAAAAATTTATAAAAAATATATAAAATTGTATATAAAATTATAAAAAATAATTAATTTTAATTAATAATTAAAATAATAAATAATTATTTAATATTAATCTTTAATAATTTAGTATAAAAATAAGGCTTATTAATGTTGCTTTAATAAGTCAACATGGAGAATTTAAGCTAACATTACTCAGGTTTTGTAATTAACAATATCCAATATTCCCAGTATTTTCCCTGGAAAAACAATGTTCCAATAAAAAAAAGATCAACTACCCAAGCAATATTAAATATATTTTCAGAAATTTTCATTTTTTCTTGACAGAATTGAAAATTCCCATCTCTCCCTAGTATTCCCTGAGGATGAGCAGGTCAATATTGTGCAGCTGGATTGGGGATCAGCACCCAGGCAAAGCAATTTTAACACAATTTATGCAGAAATGGTTCATGAGGAAACCAGGGAAAAATTGCCAAATTCGTGTCCTTAAGCATTAGGGTTGTAAATATAAAAAGCATTTACTAATTCTTTTTTTTGTACAGTCAATATAAAGAAATATTTTAAATCTATTAAAAAGATCAGACATTTCCTTATTGTAATTGTGAACCTTATCCATAACCTGTGTGAATTTGCTTTAATTTATTTTTGTGCATTTAATTTGGTTTTGTGCATTTAATTGATTTTTGCACATTAATTTAAATGCTTCTTTGTGTATTTAGATGTACCAGAAGTGAGTCTGGTCATCAGATAATTTAATTTTTTGGTGGGGAACATGTAAAACAGTATTACACATCCCTAATACTCACTTTTCAAGTTCTTTCAAAGCTTTATTCTTGGTTTTTGTTTCCTCTGCAATTTTACTGCTTTTCTCATTAATACTTTTCGTTTCTTCATTAATTTTCTCCTTCTGCATTTCCAGGTCATTAATTCGTTTCTTTAGGTCATGGCTAGGAAAATAAAACAATAAATTCTCACTTTTCTCCATCTTCACAATGAATCTCTAGTTCCAATTCTCAGTGTAACAACAGAATTATGTAAAATATCAAAAATTAACAATAATTTGGAGTTAGAAATGGAAAATATTTCTAATTAGAGATACTGAATCAAAGTTTAACAGCAGCCCCACCACATTAAAGCCAACCCAAAGCCTGGTAATTACTTACATGTAATATTGACACATCTGATTCTTTTCCTTCACTATTTGGTTTTCCAAGCAGAGGAACTCAATGGCTTTGTTCTTGTCCTCTTCCAAGGCATCTTTTTCTTTCTCCACCAGTTTAACTCGGTTTAACTGGAGAGAACAGAGGGGCAGAGCTGAGGCAGGGCCAGCACTACAGGGGGAAACCATGAGGAGAAAAATTCCAAACCCTTTGTAGGACGTGAATGCTCTGGAAAAATGGTACCAGGAATTACCCCAGCAAGGCAATTTTATGGTGATTTCCTTTATCTCAGCCTTCTGAAGCCATTTGTAATTTCAGTCCTACAACTATAGGTGATGTTTGTTTTCAAAACAAGTCTGCTACAGGATTTACCACAGACACATCAAGGAAAACAAACTGATTTTGTTCAGAGCTTTTTTNAAAACCTAAATGGAATTCAGAAGG